TATATACATATGTAAGTATGTGTACATTAATTATGTATATATTATATATACCGTATACCTGCTTATTGTTATTTAAAAATAATCATTCAACTATTCAACCAAGGTTTGCCCAGAAGATGACCAGTGGTTTAAGATGTTTAGCCCTGTTTCCGATCGTCCCAAATGTGCTGAATGCCATTCCCAGTTGGTTGGAATAGAGGGCAGGGATCCCACATTGGATTAGTCCATAATCCTCCATCCAATGCGTTGCTGAAGCCCCAAGAACTTCGTAACTTTCACCAAGCAATCATCATTTTGAGCCGCATGTTGTTCCATTTTACCGATTCTGAATCCAGACACCCTGCAAAAGGTGTTGCTTTCTGGCTGGTTTTACCGGGTCCCTTGATTTTCTGAGTTACTCATGATTGGTATATAAACATTCTATAGAAAATACAAGTTATAAATCATTAGTCCATAAGAACTCCCATGTTTCAATCATTTGTGTATACCCTATGGTAATTTAACAGTTTGCTATCGTTTTTTTCCATATATAGTTGAAATTACCTATTGAAAGTGGTGATTTTCCATATTTTTTTAGTTCATTTCAGCACAAAATCCCCCAGTCATCTTCGATTCAATCCCCCACCTTGTTTGCCAGCTCCCAGGAGCGGTTCCTGGAAAAAACATGCGGCTGTTCCAAGCGCTAAAAATTGGATAATGTGGGTAAAACAATGCCATAGACCATATAATATACTATTGGGGCTGGGGTGTAGTTGAGATTACCCTCTGGAAATTTAACATTTCCCCCAAATCACCATAAATAGGTGGTATAGACCATTCCCAAATGGGTGGTTTATTCTTGTTTTACCCAGACTAGAGATCTATAAACACCCACAGAAATAGGGCTAAACTGGAACAAATGGTTTAGTTCAGTGGGTTACTGTAAGTCGTGTTTATGGATGTTTACTGTAGATATATCCGTGATACTTCCGTGATATATGGGTTTGTCCGACAATTGTTGGGGGAAAATGCCCCAAATGTGATGGTTGATGACCATTTTCCCAATTAAAATGGCCATATCTTGGGTATACAGTATTTTCACACAAACCCAAATCAGAGTTGCAGATGATTTCTCATCTAGAAGAAAGGTCATCAACCAACACCCACTTCAATGTGCATCCCAGCTAGTGGGTGGACAAGGATTATATTTGCCACACAGTTATTTATGGGATATTCTCCAGTTATAGATTGGTGAATAACCACTTGGCATGCAGCGCCAAGTACTGAAATAGATGTGGAAATCTGGTACTGATAGTCCTATATGGTTGTGTAGTCAATGTGTATAGCGATGTTCTGTTGTCACTGGGGTCACTACACAGTAGTTGTGGTACAAACCCACATGGATTGCTGGGAAATCCTGCCAGAGGCTGAGCCAAAGACAAGAATATGTTTCTGCAGATGTGAATGAACAAATATGAACAAGAAAATGTGATTGATCTGATTGATCTGGTACTTAAATCCCAGTTTTTCTTTATGCTGAATTCTCCAGTTCTCATAGCCCAGATCCCCATGTTCGATGGTCAAGTCCTCCATGTTTTCGAAGGAAAAGCAATGTGTCATAGTCAAGTCAACTTGTATACCATATATCATATATATATATTATAATGATAAATAAAAATAAATAATAAATAAATAATAAATACTAATGTGGACATGTATCATCATGTATCATCATTTATCATCATTTATCATCATGTATCATCATTTATCGTCATTTATCATCATTTGCCATCATTTACCATCATTTACCACTAGACTATTTAAGTAGGATGTTATCCCTCTTTTAGGATTTGATGTGCTTTTTACACATCTATTTCTGTTACCTAGGGGGATGATCCTCCATCAGTATCTCATCCCACTCAGGCCAAAACCCGAAAAACCATTGTAAATCGCCATGGATTATCTGGAATATCCCCACAAAGCATGATATCCCCAATGACATCAGCAGTTTAATTCGATTTTTCAAGGTAAATCCATGTGAATCCCCCAATAATCCCACTATATATTCTTGCGATTGTACACATATACATATATATATATATACCGTTATATCCCATCTTCAATATCTTGCCACTACTCCCACCCTTCACCTGGCCACTTTGGCCGAGCTCATGAGCACGTCACTTGTGATGTTTTGCACGGCGGCCTCAATCGTTGTGCTTTAGCAAACGAAGAAAAAGTGATGATTCTAATGGATGTGAGTGGACTGTAGTGGATCCTTATATATGTTTATGTTTTTGGCGCCAACACCAGCAAGAGGCCATGCGCGTGTGGATATTTTGGGTGTGGGGGTGGGTGGGGGGGTGGGGGTGGGGTGGGGTGGGATGTTAACGCTCATTGTGACTGCAACCACATAATACGTTCTCTTGCACTTCCACACATATGTCATGCTACGCTGCACGTTCTCTTGCACTTCCACACATACGTCGTGCCACGCTGCACGTTCTCTTGCACTTCCTTCCACACATACGTCATGCCACGCTGCTGCACGTTCTTTTGCACTTCCACACATACGTCATTGTCATGCTGTGCTGCTCCATGTTCTCTTGGACTTCCACACATACGTCATGCTACGAGCCAGAACAGCTTGCTATGCTGATGGTTGCAAAGCTTGCAAAGGGGCCTAGAGACAACAAGTGCCAGAAAAACGCCTCAAATGGCAAAACGTTGCCCACAACCGCGGTGAGTTTGTGAAGCACTTGGGCAGAAAGCCCACAAAAAAAGAGTTCTTCTTTGGCCGGAACACAGACTTTAGACAGACAGTGGGGCAAAAAAATGGAAGTACTTGTATGCTGCAGTCTGGCGCAAGAGCGTAAAAGGCAATGTCCTGAACAACTTTGTGATTGAAAGGAAAACAGGAACTTTTCGGCAAAACCCTCGACCCCTCGACGAACAAAACTCCTGTTTTGTGCTTGTAAAACACTAGATTTTCCACTTTTGAAGTGACCCTTCCAAGGGATTTGCACCAGAAATATATATATATATATATGGAATAAATGTTTACAGTTTCGGACACTTCCCTCATCGTCCTGGCACTGTGTGATGTCATCACCGACACGGCCTCCTACAGACGCTGTTACCATGTTTTTGAGTCGATATTCGTATATGTCTTATATGTGTGTTATTATACAAAGGTTTTAACAGAGACCCTTTGGAGTTTTGAGGGGGTTCAATCAAGTGAGAAAAAACATGTTGTTGATTGTTAAATGGATTTGTAGATATGTTGATGAAACTATGGGGATCTTTAATGGAGTTTCTATGTTTTTGCTGATGTTTGTGATCTGATGATCTTTTAGTTGGTGTATGGTCGGTGCCAGAATTGTAGAACGGAAGTTGGAGTACGAAGGTACGGTTATTTACTGTACCCTGTTGTTCCATAATTCTGTTTTCCTCGGAAGGTATGAAAAAAAACTTATCTTAACTTACTTACTCCTATTTTTCTCGTCGTTCTATAATTCTGGTTTGTTCTATAATTTTGTTGTCCCCCATTTTTCCCACATTTACCAGTTTCGTTCTATAATCATTTGTTCTGTTCTATAATTAATTTTGCGTAAACCGTTCTATAATTCTGGTTTCTATGTCACTTTTTTCTGGGGTCCCAGAAAGACACATAAAATGATGCAAATATATGTACACAAAATAAACACACTGTGGGGTTTTCCAAGAAGGGTATCTACGGTATATGTGTAATTATGTACTGTATACAAATATGCAATAGATATCATGGAGGTGCCAGAAATTATAGAACAGAAAAAATAATTATAGAACAGCAATTAATTATAGAACAGGATCCGAATCCGCGCGGAATCCGGATCCGGAGGAGTACGAAGGTACGGTATTTTACCGTACTTTTGTACTCCTAATTTCGTTCTATAATTTTGGCACCACCTGTAAGCGAAAACTAGGAAACCGAGACTCGATTTTAGGGTTGCTCAATTTGGTGGGATTAGTCGACACGACCTACATTGAGACAGCGGTCTGAAATTGTGGTACATGGACGCCAAGCTATATGATGATAAACTATGAAATTAGGGGCAAGCCAGCCACATCTACATGGACCCGGGGGGCTCAAAAAGGAATTTCGAGAACTTGGGTTTTGGACATCTACGTTGGACACCTACGAAACCTTTGGTTTTGCCCAGACCTGGGTCGTTCCGATGTCCTCACACAGTGGAATTATGGAACCTCCAAGGGAGTTTAATAGTAATTCAAGGAAGTTGATATTAGTTCCAGAATGGTTCCAGAATCACCCCGCCAATGCTCATGTATTTGCCTGGAAATTCCCAATGGATGAAGATAAATTGTGTGCGGAACCCCCCGAAGATTGAAGCAATTGGAGAATTCAACAATTACTGTGGATTTCTGGATGTGAAAAATCAAGACAGGCCCATAATGGACCATATGACGAAAAGTATTTCCAGGATGCTAGTTCGATGATGTGTTCTCCATTTCAAACCCCACTTTCGTTCTCTATTGTGCGGGTGAGTTAGACAATCCTCATTATATTATTCCCATGTTCTCCAATTATCCTTAGTTTCATGATTACAGCAAATCTCCATGTTTGAAGAAAACAAATTGTGTATTTTCCATGAATATCCCATATAAAATCCCGTTGAAATTCCATTGAAAACCTATGAAATCCCCATTTAAAAAAAAAACCTAGTGCTTGATGGCCCCTTGCCTGAACCTGGCGTTCCATGTTCTGCAGGACCTTCTGCTGCACGCCCTGAACGGCCTCACAGATGGGGGTACCCCTCGTTGAACCTATCAGTAATACACTTTCTATGTGACATACAGTATAACATATGTATAACATATGTATACATGATTACGTACAGAATAATACAATAAGGTCTAATCTGTCTTGATCCGATTCTAATCTATTCTATTTTCTCCTTGCTCTACCAATCTATTCTTACATATGTATTATACTGTATACACTGCACTTATTCACCCACTCATTTTAACCCCGCAAAACCGCGGAAGCCCCGAATCTTTTTCGAAGCTTCGCAGGTCGTGTCGCGGAGCTCGCGGGTTTTTTTCCCAGCCCTGCAGTGATAGACACTTTGGCCTGGCAGGTTTTGGGAAGTTCTGAAGCACTGCCCTTATTGTTTTTTCAAAAATGGGCTGTAGGGTTATAACTACTCAAAATAGGACTTAAACTCAAAGTTGGATTTGTTCCATTACAACTAGGAGTTTTAACCAGCAAAAAATTGGGATTTGTATATAACCCATGAAGAACCCGTTTTCAAAAAGGAAAAAACGGGATTTAAACCACAAAGATTGTGATTTACCCATAATTTTTGGGAAAACTCAAATGGATATCATGGGGGATACATTAGCAAAAGGGGATATCCGTCAACTATCAAGATCGCTGAATGACCTTCCCCCCAACAAAAAAAACACGTTTGTGGCAACATGACCTGCCAATGAACAAATTCCCCATGCCATTTATAGATGATTGCGTTAGATTTTTTCACTAGAAATTATATAAGGATATCCAAGCCGGCAAGGTGAAATTGCCAATCCTGAACCATGCCATTGGTTGCATACTATCTTTGTAGATCTTTGTAGATTTTGGTCGGTCACTGATCAATGATCGCTGACATGTTTGCACATAGTTGGTGAAACTATCAGTTTCATTATGTGTTTAACCCATTTCCATTGTCTCTTCCCACGTTTGCTCATCAAAATGCCCAAATTTCTTCATGGTTGCAGTTTGAAATCCCGAATTGTCGTTATTCTGATTGGTTGGTCACAATATCTCCTTCCCATCGTTGTTGAAATTCCCAGATGTGTTGTTTCTCTATACATTTTATGGTCAAGATATGTGTTTCTCTACTGGTTGTTCTGACTATACCCTCCGGTGATTTAACATTGCGGAAAATCATCCATCTATGGATGATTTACCTATTAGAATTGTGATTTGGCATAGCAGACTGCTAAATGACCAGAGGCATAATATCCCATTTCACCCCCATTATTGCTAGGTAAATCCCAATGAAATCCTATCAATTCCCTATGAAATCTCTTTAAATCCCTTTAAATCCCTATAAAAACATGTGGTTCGTGTTTTGAATCACCATTTCTCATGGTTTCAGATCTCCTCTTCCGGCGCCAGCAACGGAGGTGAACAGCACACTCCAGGGAGCATCCTGAGGGTAAAACGGCTTCAAAATGCTGCGAATCAAATGTATTATTTATAGTTGTGTGGTTATCTATCTATGCATTTACTTATTGATTTATATTTACATACACATATGAACATATGTAGATACACATTTACATATATATATATATATATATGTAATATGTATATACATACATACACATTTTGTGTATTCTATATATGTATTACATACTGTTATGAATCATACGATGGCTATACATGTCATTGGAAGTATTACTCTTACTGCTACTGTTGACAGCATTGCTACATACATATTATCTGATATTGCAATGACACGTGTATGCATTACATGTTGGCAGATGACAAGATTTCAGAAACCTGAAATAAACAACCTTTTTTTGTACAATTGTCCTTTGTCATGTACTCTGGGGCCATTTATACCCAATCTGGAGGTATCCAATGCAAAAAGAGGAGTGATTAAGGTCGAATTGGACGGTCCCAACTACGAAAATAACACAGTGGGGAGAAGATACTGGGATGATTCCTGAAGATAGCGATTCATGGTGAAAAAGACTGGCCCTGTCCGATGAGATACGATGATGTTAAATCCTTGCCGCTGAGTCTATAAGAATCATCGACGACCACGACGACCACGACGACCATGACGACCACGACCAACACCACAACCACCACAACAACAACACCAACAGCAACAGCAACAACAACAACTACTACTACAACAACTACAACAACAACAACAACAGGTTTTCGGATTATTTCGGCCGATTTTGGACAGTTTTGGCGCTAAACTTATGAGTTCAAGGCCCAGGCTCTCTTCGCAGTGCACCTTGCCCCAGAAACGGTCCATGGCTGCAGGTGTAATCCACGTCATGAAGCTGGACCTTGTGGTTGCGTGTGGCAGCCGGAAATTATTTTGGTTTGGGGGCGGACAATTCCGTAGAGATACAAGACGGTTGCCGGATGTGAACAGGTTGCAGTATATAACATAAATAGTATATGTAACATAAGTTGCTGATTGGGAAGCTACGGTGAAGTTTACACGATGACGAACCCTAAGTTCATTGGACTTTAGCTGTTTTGAAAACAACAAATATTTGATTGAATCCTATGTAGTCTCACTAGCCTCGGTTTCACGTGGCCATCATGTTGCTACACCGGTTGCCCAAAGATGTCACATTTTCCAACCAGCCATGACAACAGCCGTTTGACCAGTTGGCACCGAGAAAGTATTTGCATCATTTTGTTTTTCGATACACAAGCGAACATCCTGGCACTAAAGAGAAGAGTGCATCAGGACCAGCACCATGCAGTAACAACGCAGAAAACATAAATTCCCATGAATTCCCAAGATTTCCCAAAATATTGGAGGGTCACCAAAATGTACACACGTGTGCCTGCAACGCCAGTTCCTTGGCCATATATCAAACCAAACATGGGTAGCATGACCCTGCCGACATGGTTGATACCCACGATACCGATACCCGTAAAATGTGGCTATCCGATAGCTCAAACACGAACGGGTAACGGGAACATCGATTCAAAAAAACAACCACACAGCATTAGACTGTGAAAAAATGACGCATTAAAGAACCTGTAGGCGCTCACAAAACGGAGGGAAAATACCGCTCTGGGCCCCTTCCGAACTGGATCATTTCGAAAAGCTCCTGATAAGCCAAGTATTATTGATTGTTGTTTCCAACACCTCTTGGGGATCCATGTCCAAGCTGGATGAAAGATTGGCAACCCATGAATCTCCCTTGCAGATCTGTACAGTAATTTCCTACAGTTTTTGACACTGCACCTGGATTCACCAAGCTATCTCCCCCTCGGCTTGGGCTGCATCACCGAAGATCAGCTACCTGTTCGTGCACTGGGTTCCCCCAACGCTGCACGCCAAGCGGATCCCAAAAAACTTTCAGAGTTCGAGGACTCGCTGGAAGGCGGAGACCAGCGTTGGATCTCATCCTTGGCCAAATCTGAGCGGCATGCTGTGCTCAGTTGGTTGGACCCTTTGCTTCTGTGTTCTTGTGACAGCGCAAGATGTTTCTATCTAAACTGTTCTAAACTTGCGTAAATACAACATGTCAACATGTTTTCTGGGCGTGTCAACTTCAAAGACCTGTCGCCTACACCGGGTGCCCCATTTCAGCCTGTCCCGGCTGAAACATGCGCATCTGCCGCGGCTGTTTCGCGTGGCAAGCGCGGCACTTCCTGTCTCCAAACGCGGCGCGGCACTTCCTGCCTCTAGCCGCGGCTGTTTTGCGTGACAAGTTCCTACCTCTACGCTGGCTGGCTGCGCCTTGGCTGCTTCGGCTGTTTCGCGTGGCAGGCGCGCCACTTCTGCAGCGGCGGGCAGAAACTGACCACGACAAACTTCACATGTGGCATCACATTCCTGGTGAACCACTGGTGAACATGAAAGAAGTTCGGATTTATGATGATTTGTGCATGCTCATCCCTTCTTGACCCATCCTCGCATTACATCAAGGCTTCGAAATCTGGCACCCCGTGTCAGTGTCATCTGGCCGTAATCTGAGAACAGCGACGCCTGCCGTCTACCTCGCGCCATGCTTAACCCGAGTCACTCTCGCCCCAAAATTGATGGGGACACGTCTTCGTGTTCCAAGCGCCGGCTGCTTTCCACTGTTTCAGCCACTGAAAAGTTCATTTGTGGTTCTGAAAAGAACCCAAAAAACAAAGAGGTGGGCGCTTGCCGTAAAGTCTACTGATGGCCTTGAAACACTTATTTCAACAAATTTGTAAAATTGTGTAAACATCTAGGGATGAATCCACCTTTGGATCTGGGGGATGGCAATGATGAAAACACTCCAGAAAAATCCAGGCGGTCCCTTCATGAGGTGGGGCTAGTGACTAGGTGTGAAACTTCGAACGTAGTGCAACACCAAAACATGTTTTGGGAAAACTCCAACAACAAAAATCAACACAACCATCTTCTAAAAACATCCAAACCATGCCAAAGCCATCTTGTGGAAGGGTTTCATCCTTAGATTTTAGAAGCTCGGACTCCACAAGGCCATGTTCCAGTGGGGCAAATCTCCCGATCTTCCCGTTTTTTCGGAAATGCCAACCAAGGGAACCAACTACGGACATGTCAAATGATCCCAAAAAATTGTGCACCCTGGTGACATGCGCAGGCAATCGCATAATTTTCTGGTGGCCACCCGCACGTCGGAAATTTCCATGTGACGCGAACCCTTTATTTGGGTATTATATAAATTTGTGCATCTGGGCACTGAGGTCAGCCAATCCCAGAGAAAAAGCACCATGGGTTTGTCTGAACATAGTCCAAACATCCAAACATGTCCACACCCATGCATCATTGTGTTCCCCAATAATGTCTGGCAACTTCCGTACCGTATCCCTCAACCCATATCTTGCACCACAAAGTTCGATGGGCTGTTGCCCAGGGCGCCAGGATCACTTGAACGTTTCACTTTGGATCACTTGAAGCTTTTGGATCACTTAGAGCATTGTAGGGTCACCTGCATTAAATTGCGGATCACTTGACCATTAGACACTTAGACACCCTGGCTCTACTCGCTCTACCGGCTACACGGGCTCTACGGGCTCTACGGGCCTTACAGGCCTTCCGGGCCTTACGGTTGCAGAATGATGGAAAGAATATTGGGTGCACTAGTACTTAACAATACTAAGTATCCGACTCTTTAGCTATAATTATAAATAAGTATTTTACATTTAAATTTACATGCGTTACATGCACTACATACATTACATACTTACATACATTACATGCATTACATGCATTACGTACTTACATACATACATACAGACAGACAAACATACATACAAACATAAATAAATAAATACATACATACATTGATACATTAATTACATAATTACATAATTACATACATACATACATACATACGTACGTACGTACGTACGTACATACGTACATACGTACATACGTACCTACGTACCTACGTACATACGTACCTACGTACATACGTACATACGTACATACGTACATACGTACATACGTACATACGTACATACGTACATACGTACATACGTACATACATACATACGTACATACATACATACGTACATACGTACATACGCACATACGTACATACGTACATACGTACATACATTGAGACATTAATTACATACGTACATGCATGCATACCTACCTACCTACCTACCTACCTACCTACATACATACATACATACCACTGCATTACATTACCTTACATTCGATTAGATTACATTACATACATGCACATATATATATATTTATTTATTTATATATATACCGAAATTCGTCTCAATTGCTGGGTTCAGCAAAACTTCCTGTTTGTTGTCGCTAAGCTCTTGACTTTCACACATTATTTCCTGCTACGTTCTTGCTGCTACGATCTTGGCTTTCGAGCATTACTTCTCTTGACTTTCCAACATAGCTCCCTATACTGTGTTTGTTGCTGCTCCGCTCTTGACTTTCAAATACGCCTTCCTACTACATTTTGCTGCTATACTCTTGGCTTTCCAACACAATTACCTGTTTTTTGTTGCTGCGCTCTCGACTTTCAAACTCCTACTATGGTCTTGCTGCTACGCTCTGGGGTTTCCAACGAAACTTCCGACTACGTTTCTGCTGCGAGGCTCTTGTCTTTCCACCACAAACTCGCCCTGTTATGTTTGTTGCTGCAATGCTCCCGACTTTCTCGCATTACTTCCTGTTGGTTGTTGCTACGCTTTTGACTTTCAATCAATACTTCCTACTACGTTTTTGCTGCTACACTCTTGGCTTTCCAACATAACTTCCCCTTTGTTGTTGCTTCGGTCTTGGCTCTCAAATATTACTTCCTAGTATGTTCCTGCTGCTACGCTTTGGGGTTTCCAACGTAACTTCCAACTACGTTCTTGCTGCTACGCTCTTGGCCTTCCAACATAACTTCCGACTATGTTTTGCTGCTACGCTCTTGGCTTTCCACCACGCACCTGTCCTACTAATTACGTATCTGTATGTTGTCGCTACGCTCTCGGTTTTCCAACATAACTTCCCGTTTGTTGTTGCTACGCCCTTGGCTTGCAAATATTACTTCGTACTACGCTCCGGCTGCTACACTCTGGGGTTTCCAACGTAACTTCCAACTACGTTTCTGCTGCTATGCTCTCGACTTTCCAACAAAACTTCCGACTACTTTTCTGCTGTTATGCTCTTGGATTTCCACCATGACTTCGTCCTACAACGTTCGTTGTTGCAATGCTCATGGATTTCTAGTATAAAGTCCTACTATGTTCTTGCTGCTGCACTCTTGGCTTTCACGCAAAACTTCCTGTTTGTTGTTGTTATGCTCTTGACTTTCAAATATTACTTCCTACTGCGTTCTTGCTGCTACGCTCTTGGCTTTCCAACACAACTTCCGACTACGTTCCTGCTGCTACGCTCTGGACTTTCCAACACAGCTCCCTACTACGTTCTTGCTGCTACGCTGCTGGCTTTCCAACATAACTTCCGACTATGTTCTTGCTGCTACGCTCTTGGCTTTCCAACACAACTTCCGACTACGGTCCTGCTGCTACGCTCTGGACTTTCCAACACAGCTCCCTACTACGTTCTTGCTGCTACGCTGCTGGCTTTCCAACATAACTTCCGACTATGTTTCTGCTGCTACGCTCTTGGCTTTCAACCAAGTACCCGTCCTACTAATTACGTATCCGCATGTTGTGGATACGCTCTGGGATTTCCAACTTAACTTCCATCTATGTTTGTTGTTGCTACGCTCTTCACTGTCTAACATGACTTCCTATTTTTCCAGCTCAGTCTGGGCGCGCACGGACCGGAACATGTGCCACTAAGCATGTCAGATGGGATGTTAGAATAGATGCCAGAAAGAATGCCGGATAGAATCTAAACTTATTTGTTAGATAGACTGCCATAATGAATATCGGATAGAATTTTGATAGGCTGTCAAACTGTATGTCAAATAGGCTGCTAGAAAGAATGCCAAATAGAATGTCTGAATATATGTACGAAAAAGGCCAGACAGAATGTCAGATAGATTGTACAAATATATGTCAACTGGAAAGATGCCAGAATAAGTGTCGAATATCATGCTAGACAGAATGCCAAAAAGAATGTTTGAATATATGTCTGAAAAATGCCGGATAGAATGCCAGATAGAATGTTGAATGTTCAAATATATGTCAGCTAGAAAGATGCCAGAATGATTGTCGGATATAATGCAAGAAAGGCTGCCAGATAGAATGATTATGTCACAATGTATTTTCCAAGAATGTCAAGTGGTGGAGATCACTGGAAGAAAGTGGTTCTGCTACCATTCGCTCCAATGCCTTCCACTGGTCGAACTTTCTAGCGGCCGTTTCATGGACAATAGCATGACCCCCTCTACGCCCCTCACGGGTCTCACGGGCCTTACAGGCTCTACTGGCTCCACGGGCTCCACGGGCTCTACGGGCTCTACGGGCTCCACGGGCTCCACTGGCTCCACGGGCTCTACGGGCTCTACGGGCTCTACGGGCCCTACGGGCTCTACGGGCTCTACGGGCTCCTCACGGGCTCTACGGGCTCTACGGCTCTTGTGATCCCAAATCAAACGCAAGCACAAGCGATCCAAAATCAAACGCACAAGCAAGAAAAACGCAAATGTTCAAGCGAACCCCCGGCCGTCGCCCAGGCTGTGAAGGCTCCATTCAGCCCTTAAACACACCCCACAAACCATGGTCGATGAAACAGGTGAAACTACATTTGACTGGGACCATAGACTGGGGGTGTTTAATATGAACGGGGGATTACGAACTTGTTCAGGACGCAAAATTCGTGCAAAGTCTGGAGCCGAACCAAAACACCTTGGCATTCCATGAGTTTCCTCTGAAATTCCAGCTGTAACACGAATGAGCCAGCAGAAAAAAACGAAAATGTTATTTGAAATCAGATTAGCCATGTTTGGGGGGATGAAAAAGAAAGACAAAATAACGCTTCAAATTCACCAAAAAACCGTAAGAGAAACACAAAATAACATTTATAAAAACAGCAAACAGGTTGTTTTTCAAGGCACGTCATCTTCGGACGTCTCCCCCAACTCGGTACCGGAGGTATAAGCCTGACATGCTCCACTTTAGGCAGGGTTGATGGTGGTTGATCCATGAAACTGAGGATTTCACGAATTATACAAAGGAAATGAGTGAAAATGGGAAGTGGAGCAACGTGGGAATGTAAGCCACAAGTGTGTTGCTTCACCAAAAGTGGAGCCAAACTGAAAATCCGTGAGTGACTCAAAAATCAAAAACCGATTCACCAGTAGGTTTGTTTATCTATTGCTCAGGTCACAGTTTCACTTGATAAATCTAACCAAATCCATCCAAATCCCAATACTTTCTAGCCAGCAAGGTCCTCGGACCATGGTCAATCTCGGATCTCCAGCAAAAATGTATCTGCTTTTGTTTTTTTCAATATTCTCCCATCAAAGAAGCTGAAGAGTCATCCATTTCACCTCACATTCAGCAGTGGGTTTGCCACAGTGGATTTGCCATTGCCATTAGCGTACCACAAACACCCTTCAGTAGGCAAGGTCGGCCCACATTCCCAGATCATGTAGCTTGAATCTCATTCTTGTTGATGGACGAAATCCGCATTTATCTTGTGCTTAGTTCCCAAGTTTTGATGAATTATCAAAGAAAACCATTCAATATATCAATCCCTATATCAATCCTCCAGTTTTCTCAAGTGTTTTTTCCAAATTTCCCACCATTTGCAGGGACCTCCACGAATGGGGGATCCCCAATAGCTGGATGGTTTTTGTTATGGAAAATCGATCTACAACTGGATGATTTGGGGTCAACCCCATGGCCTCCTGCATCAGTCGCGAGGCCGCCACCACCGCAGGATCCAGCAGCTCGGGGCCCAGCGGGCCCGGCTCCGTGACGCCCCGCGGCTTCAGGGCTGGGCGCGCCGCCACGGCGCCACGGCGAAGGCGGCCCAGGCGTGGGTGCACCTGGAGGCAGTGGTGGTGAAGCGTGAAAATATGAAGATTCATGACTTATTAGCAGTAATGTAGCAATATTCATGGCTAATCGAAGGAAGTTTAGAAGTCAAACCTCCGACAACATGGACAGATGAAAAGCAGAGATGGGAAGAGTCAGAGAACAGAAGAGAAGAGAAGAGAAGAGAAGAGACGAGACGAGACGAGACGAGACGAGACGAGACGAGAAGAGAAGAGAAGAGAAGAGAAGAAGAAAGAGAAAGAGAAAGAGAAAGAGTCAGAAGAAAGAAGATCCAGGTGCCCGAAAATGTAGGAAAGTCGCGAAACACTGTGTTTTTCCAATGATTTGAGGCTCCGGAGGGTCCAAAGTAGGCTCGCTAAAGCGGCGGGTGCGGAGCCAGCTGGCCAGATGAGAGATGAAAAATTGCACGCCGTTGTGGCGCGAAGCACATTTCCAAGGCAAAATTCACAAAACACACCATGCTCGGACCACTTTTGAGAGTTGAGATGTCTAAAAAGTGCACGTCGTTGTTGCGCGAAGCACATTTCGAAGTAAAAACGTACAAAACACACCATTCTCGGACCACTTTTGGAAGTTGCGATGTCGAAAAAGTGCACGCCGTTATGCGCGAAGCACATTTGCAAGTGAAAAAGCTAAAAAACACCGCGTTCGGAGCACTTTTGGAAGTTGAGTTGTCGAAAAAGTGCACGCCGTTGTGGCGCGAAGCACATTTCGAAGTCAAAATGTACAAAACAGCCGGGATTCGGACCACTTTTGGACGTTCAGATGTCGTTTCGCGTGGCAGGCGGAAGGGATTGTGGACCTTGTCAAAAGTGAGCAAAACGTGGGGGTTTTGTAGCATTTACAACTACAACCACCACTACACTACACTCCGCTACACTACAACTACAACTACACCTAGACTACATTCCACTACACTACACTACATTACACTACACTATACTCCACTACACTCCACTACACTCCGCCACAGCACACTACACTAAATTACACTACACTACACTACACTACACTACACTACATTACACCACACACTACACTACACTAACTACATCCACAACTACAACTACATCTACAGCTACAATACATTACAGAACACTACACTACACTACAACTACAACTGCGCTACACTAATTGCATTACACTACACTAAACTACACAATACACTACACTACACAACACACTACACTACACTACATTACACCACACTACACCACACCACACCACACTACACCACACCACACCACACTACATTCAATTACACTACACTACACGACCCTACCCTACATTACAATACATTACATTACGTTACACTACACTCATTACACCACCACAAATGCAACTGCAACTACACTAAACTAACTACGCTACACCACAACTACAACTCCACTACACTACAACTACAACTACAGCTGCACTACACCATACTACATCCAGCAGTTGTGGGTGAGGTGACCGACCAGGTGACCACTGCAACCATTGCAACCACTCCAAAAGACACAGCTCCAACCACCTTTCGGTCCATCAGTGGATTCGCTCTGACATCCGTGATTCACAACAACCAATCTCCCCTATAGGTTTCCTATTTTTGAAACTTCCGCCACCGCCTTGTGCGGTACTACTGGTATATGAAATATTAGCAATATAGTAGTATGGTAATATATTTGATAATAGGACTCTAATAGTAGCAATATATCAACATTCATGGCAATATGTTTGTGAATGGCAATATATCAACACTGATGAGAATCATGCCGTAAAAAAAGACATGAACCGTCAAATTTAGTGGTACCTATGTAGCAATAAAGCATGAGGAATTATATATCATTCATGTAAGTATGGTGAAATTAAGCAATCGACATGCATGTACCAACGTTAGTAGTAGAGTAGTAATAAATCAACATTCATGGCAGGAATATGTTTGTGAATGGTGAGATATCAACATTAAGAGTAGCAATGCAGTAGCTCAATACACCATGAACAACTATAGCAATTAGTGCAACTAGTGTAGTTAGTCTAATTAGTGTAATTCACCAAATCACTACTGTGCACCATATTAATGAAATACAACCTATAACTTATACCCATAACCCCTAGTTGCAACTGTAGTAACACACTGGTAACATCAATAATTAGTAGTAATCCCATCCCCCGTTCATATTAAGCATTCCAATTCTATGAAGTAGCCAAGGCCTAGCAATGGTATGATAGAAAAGGGGTCCCCCAAAATCTTGCCGAAAGCTTTATTTTCAGGATCGATTGGATGATGAACCATCTCCACAATGTCTGGGTTTATGAGTCGCATCCCAAGGCTATAGATCAAATCCTTGGAAACCTGATTTGTTGAGGGGAAAAAGGCGCATCGATTTCAGGTAAACGAACGACCAGCAATGATTGAGCTAATCACACCTACAAAATAATAATATTTAAGGGCAAATTCAAGGGAGTACCCTGATGGGGACTACCCTAGCAGGCCTTTGTCGAAGGCAAATTGCTTAGACGAAGTTTGTAGTTGTTGTAGTTGTAGTAGTTGTAGTAGTTGTAGTAGTAGTAGTAGTAGCAGCAGTCGTGGTGGTGGTGGTGGTGGTAGTGGTAGTGCTAGTGGTAGTGGTAGTGCTAGTGGTAGTGGTAGTGGTAGTAGTGGTGGTAGTAGTAGTAGTAGCAGTAGTAGTTGTTGTTGTTGTTGTTCTTGTTGTTGTTCTTGTTGTAGTGGTAGTGGTAGTGGTAGTAGTAGTGGTAGTAGCTTTAGTAGTAGTAGTAGTAGTAGTAGTCGTAGTAGTAGTAGTTGTTGTTGTTGTTGTTGTTGTTGTAGTAGTACTAGTAGTACTAGTAGTACTAGTAGTACTAGTAGTACTAGTAGTACTAGTAGTACTAGTAGTAATAATAGTAGTAGTAGTAATAGTATTAGTATTAGTATTCGTATTAGTAGTAGTAGTAGTAGTAGTGGTAGTTGTTGTTGTTGTAGTAGTAGTAGTACTAGTAGTACTAGTAGTACTAGTAGTACTAGTAGTACTAGTAGTACTAGTAGTACTAGTAGTACTAGTAGTACTAGTAGTACTAGAAGTACTAGTAGTACTAGTAGTACTAGTAGTACTAGTAGTACTAGTAGTACTAGTAGTACTAGTAGTACTAGTAGTACTAGTAGTACTAGTAGTACTAGTAGTACTAGTAGTACTAGTAGTACTAGTAGTAGTAGTAGTAGTAGTAGTAGCAGTAGCAGCAGCAGCAGTCATGGTGGTGGTGGTGATGGTGGTGGTGGTGGTGGTAGTAGGAGTAGTAGTATTATTAGTAGCAACAGCAGCAGCAGTAGTAGTAGTACTAGCAGTAGCAGCAGTCGTGGTGGTGGTGGCGGTAGTAGTAGTAGCAGCAGCAGCAGTAGTAGTAGCAGCAGTAGCAGTAGCAGTAGCAGTAGCAGTAGCAGTAGCAGTAGCAGCAGTCGTGGTGGTGGTGGTGGCGGTAGTAGTTGTTGTAGTAGTAGTAGTAGTAGCAGTAGTAGGAGTAGTAATAGTAGTAGTAGTAGTATTATTAGTAGTAGTAGTAGTACTGGTAGTACTAGGGGTACTAGTAGTACTAGTAGTACTAGTAGTGCTAGTAGTAGTAGTAGTAGTAGTAGTAGTAGTACTAGTAGTAGTAGTAGTAGGAGTAGCAGTAGCAGTAGCAGTAGCAGTAGCAGCAGCAGCAGCAGTAGTAGTGCTTGTAGTAATTGTAGTAGTAATTGTAGTAGTAATTGTAGTAGTAATTGTAGTAGTAATTGTAGTAGTAATTGTAGTAGTAATTGTAGTAGTAATTGCAGTAGTAATTGTAGTAGTGGTAGTGAGTGAGGGGTTTAGCGGGGGTTTTGTTGAACCCCCCGGGATTTGACCCACTTAGGCTTGGTCCATTGGCATACTTGCCGGTTCTGCATACTCCCTTGGATTGGCCCTGAAATATAGCATGACCGCTAAATCATGTGGCAAAGTCCCAGCAATGAATCTGGTTCTGAGACCACTTCCCTACATGCTGTACATCTGAACCATGGCCACTGGATGTTACTGATGTGGTAAAAACGTCATTTTTCGCTGTAAAAAAATGCCATTTTTGGAGGAAAAGAACTGCCCCCATTTCTAGGAAAAATCAGCTTCATCAGTTTACACATGCTCGCTGAGAAACGCTGTTTCTCAGAACATGTATCTCGCTCAGGGGGATTCGCTATTTTTCAATTGTGATGTTCTAATCAAAAAACGCTGCGGGAGCGACGTGCCATTGAGGGGGATAAGAACACTGAATCCTGCAAATTATCATACTTCAGTCTTTTGTGTTTTCTCCAGGACATGTAGCTTCCCCAACAGGCGTTGATGTTTTTTCTGAACCAAACCCCCGAAAAAAAGCTGAGGGAGAGACATGCCATTGAGAGGGAGAAAGCATATGAGAACAGAATTTCATTGTCAGATTGTTCGGGAAATATATCTTTTTTCCCAGGGGCACAAAGTAGCACTCAGCTGCGGCCTGGCTCCAATTCGAAGTGGAAATATATCTATCTATATCTATCTCTCTTTCTGGAAAACAAAATGTCCAGCATATCTCCATTCTATCCCGCCTGCTGCGGCAAGGCTGGCTGGTGCAAGGCTTGCTGCTCCTGGACAGCTGTGGGCGATGCTATGGTTTTCAGGGGATAATATGTTGGGGATACTAGTGGGATATCTTAAGATATCTCATACGATATTTTGAATATATTTTGGGATATGTTGGAGTGAATATTTTGGTGATAATGGGGAGAAAATGTGTGGTATATTAAGGAGATACCTTAAGATATCTCATCTCATGCTTTGGGGATAGTATGTGCGGGGAGAAAATAACACATCCCAAGATACCCGAAGGTTATACCAGAGGTTTTTGTCAAACTGGACTGGCAAAAGCCCCCGAGCGGGCGCTGGTCTCATCAGAGCCCCGGCAACTGCAATTTTCAAAACCGCTATGGTCATTATCGAAAGCAAAGTCTCAAAGCGGCCTTCGCCTTCTAAGTTGAACTCTTCTTCCAAGACGGATTCCTGGTACAACATCCGGCCACCTCCTCAATGTAAAACATCGTAAAACAAAATATCTTCCTCGGGCGGATGCACAATGCAATCATATGAATCATATATGCTGAGCTCTTGACTGAACGAGGCATGCCTCTGCTGAAAGCAGAGCTTCCCTGAGGCCACCCAAGCAATGCCAAGGCCGAGATCCAGCCAGGACCCCGCATCTGTTTGGCCCAACAAAGAACATCTGGCCTTGAAGGGCACCTCTCCCAGCCCAGTTGTTCCATTCGTCGTCAAGACATAGTGTGATACCACGATACCTTTCAGTGCCTTGCTTATGATCTGCCAATCGTGGGGGTTCCACTCGCTTCGCACGTCTGGCGCAACGCTTCTGGTTGTTTATGCTCAGTGCCAGCCCACCTCCATGGTGGTCACTTTTCGCACCTGCAGTAGGTGTTGCATTCGTTTGTATTGCAACCACCCCCGAACATCGAGCTTAACAAGTGGATCATTTCTTGGGGGAGATTCCAAGCATCCGGACCAGCGAAAACAAGCTTACAGCTACAAGAAAAGCCTTCCCAGGACAGAAACACTAATAACGATGATATGCGGTGATGATGATCATCATGAATATATGGGTACGAAGAAAGAGCTGATGAGAGAGATGACCAATCATGTTCGATTCGAGGGCTTGTTTTTCATGGGGGCAGTAGTGTCCTCAAACGTGGCAATAGAAAATCCCCGAACTAAATGGAGGCTTTAATGGGACAATCATCTACAAATGGATGAAATGTCAATTGTCACGTTTGATTACCTGAGGGTATACGGGATTGAACATTCGGGGGAAAACCCTTATTTACCATATTCATTAATTAATTTATTCATTTATTTATTTATTTATTTAATCTATTTATCTATTTTCAAATAGATATATCATATTTGTCCCAAATTTGCAAACCTTTGAACCCTTTTAACCCTGCCACAGGCGCCACATCCTGTTTCCGGGCTTGTCGATGCGCGCTCTGCGGGCGCGGCAGCCGCGGTACCGCAGGCGGCTCGGGAGGGTCCTCGCAGCCGCGGCGTGCCTGTGGCGCAGTGAAAAATGCTGGTTCAACCAACAAAAAAAAGGGATGACACCAAGAAAAATGGATGTTGGTTGAACCAGCATTGGATGTTTCACCAACCAATTGGATGTTAGATTGGTTTGTGAAAAATGTTAGATTTCACCCACCAATTGGATGTTTTGGCGAGAAAATGGTAGTTTTAACCAGCAAAACAGTGGGTCAATATTCAGGTAAACCTTGGGAGGGCACCTCTCGGTGCCGAGTGAATGGGAATCTCATTCCCTCGGGATGGGGATTGGGATTCACCAACAGTAAATCAACAGGTGAACTTCAATAATCCAAAATGTCCCGTAAAACAATTGATACCCCCCTTTTCGGGCCTCCAAAATGGAGAGATTCAGTATCAAACAATGGTTTCTGGTCGGTACTTATTAGGGAGAAGGGATTCATGTTTAACCACTTGGGTCTAGAGCCAACAAATGGTTCTTAAGTTGTGTTTTTCACTGCAGCATTGATTTTGGAGGAAATCCATCCCCCAGGACCAAAACCATCCTCCCACCGCCCCACCATTCGGAAATGGATGGGATCTACAGGTGAAATGGATGCAGATCTCTGGAAAAAATCCAACCTTGCGATGATTTTTCGAGGAAAATCATCGAACTAAATGTGAAGACATGTGGAGAGGAAAATCATACTAAGTGGGAAAATCATCTTGAAAAAAAAATCTGGAGCTGGATTTCCAGAATTGAACATTGAGTATTTCTGATAGCCATGTTGCTTGCCAGAAGGTAAAGATGTAAAAAAATGTCAGACCATCCTTGGTTCTCAACTGGTCTTTGATTTTTTGACCCATACGCAGATATATCATATTATTGCACGATATCATATAATTTATGTATGTATGTATGTATGTATGTATGTATGTATGTATGTATGTATGTATGTATGTATGTATGTATGTATGTATGTATGTATGTATGTATGTATGATGTATGTATGTATGTATGTATGTATGTATGTATGTATGTATGTATGTATGTATGTATGTATGTATGTTGTATGTATGTATGTATGTATGTATGTATGTCTGTGTGTGTGTATGTATGTATGTATGTATGTATGTATGTATGTATGTATCTATGTCTATCTATCTATCTATCTATCTATCTATCTCTCTATCTATCTATCTATCTATGTATCTATGTATCTATGAATCTATGAATCTATGAATCTATGAATCTATGAATCTATGTATCTATGTATCTATGTATCTATGTATCTATGTATCTATGTATCTATGTATGTATGTATATATGAATTGTAATGTAATGTAATGTATGGTATGGTGTATGGTGTATGGTGTATGGTATATGGTATATTGTATATGGTATATGGTATATGGTATATGGTATGGTATATGGTATGGTATGGTATGATATGGTATGGGATGGGATGGGATGGTATGGTATTATATTCTATCCTATTCTATTCTGTTATATTATATTATATTATATTATATTATACATATTATTTTATATTATATATTATATATGATATATTATATATTATATATTGTATATTATATATTATATATTAAATAATATATTATATATTATATATTATATATCATATATTATATCATATATTATATAATATATAGTATATAGTATATATTATATAGTATATATTATATTATATTATATTATATTCTGTTATGTTATATTATATATTATATTATATTATACTATATTATATATTACATATTACAAATTACATATTATATATTATATATTATATACTATATATTATATACTACATATTATATATTATATATTTTATATATACTATATATACTATATATATTATATATTATATATTATATATTATATATTATATATTACATATTACATATTATATACTATGTATTATATATTATATATTATATATCATATATTATATATCATATATTATATATCATATATTATATATCATGTATCATATATTATATATTATATATTATATATCATATATCATATATTATATATTATATATATTATATATCATATATTACATTATATATATATATATATTATCATATATGATATATTATATAATTTTATATATTATATATTATATACTAATATATTATATATATATATTATATATTATATATATTATATATATATGTATATATATTTGTATATATTTATAATAGATATATATATATATATTATATGATATGTATTTATTATATTATATATATATGGTCACACCCCCCTTACATATTATGTATATATTATAGAAACGGGAATGACCGCATTTTGGATGTCTCAAAGCTCTCCATGTGCGCCTCCGAGCCACATGACGCCATGGCTCTGTTGGACACATGCCATGCGTGTGGGGAACCGAGGTCTTGCGTAACTGGTGATTCTCTGGGTGTTTTCCAGCATCAAATTTCAGGAATCTGAGGATCTGAGAATGACTTTTTCATGAATTCTATGAATAACCCATTATCCTATGATTTTTCAGATGAATTCATAGGATAATGGGGGATCTGAGGCGAGAAACCGAGACTTCATCAACAAAAATGGGACTTTGACCTATCAACAATGGAGACCAAGAATCAAGAGCAGAATCGTGACGAAATCGATATAAATCTATGACCAATGTTAGGTTTTCAGCAATCTGGGTGGCCTTGACTGGGTCTTTTGCGCATTAAAAAGCGCATCCCTGCAGTGTTCAGTGCCATAAAAAACAACGTTGAGCCCAAAAAAAGTCCCGCAAATGTATTGCCCACGGTTGAAAAAAACGTTCCTCGAAGATAGAATTTCGCAAGCTGTCACACTCATCTGAGAAGAATTTCAATATATAATATTTCCCGAACCATATATGACATATTGAAATGGATGATTGATATGATAATATGTCACTAATCATCATAGAAGAATATGAGTTCGGCCATTGGATGTTTCAATTTCCCCAATCCTAACATCAGTGGTGAGGTCTTTTACCAGCGAGTCTTTGCAGTCGTGTCCAGTCGGGTCCAACTCATATCCGGTCAACAGGGAAGAAGCATGGAATATGACCCTCACTGGGTGCATATCTAGAAAAAACATGTTAAAAATCTACAGCAACCACCATGTTCCCATCCAAAACTTCTTCGTTTCTATGGAGGGGGTCCTGTAAGTCTTGTCCCCAAGTCCCTCAGCTCTGGGAGTGATAGCCACGAGAATCATAGGAGTCACATAGAGGTCACCCGGGCAAAATCTGGGCATAAAACAAGAATCCTACCAGCTAGCAGCTACCACGTTCTCCCCAATCTACCCTCCGGAAATCAAACATGGCTGGCTGGAAAATCCTCGAACTCAATGGAGGTTACCAGGTTTAGAGCTGGGAAAATCAGAAAAACCATGGATTTTCCAGCCATGTTACCCGGCTGAGGGTACCCGTACCCTCCATGATCCGCGCCTTCACTTTGGAGGTCACCTGGTCCAAATCCAGCGCTATGGCCTGACGACAGGACGGTCGTGACGGTTGTCGTGACGTCATGGGCCTCAATCTATGGCAATGCTTCAAGGGAAAATGATGATGTACCATTGGATTTCATGGTGATTTTGAGATAACCATCCACTTCAGCAGCTAGAGAGATATATCAAGCATTGATTCATTCTGATGTCGTATATATATATATACATATACGCATGCATATATATATATACATACATACATACATTACATTACATTACATTGCATTACATTGCATTGCATTGCATTGCATTGCATTACATTACATTACATTGCATTGCATTGCATTGCATTGCATTGCATTGCATTGCATTGCATTACATACATACATACATACATTACATTACATTACATTACATTACATTACATTACATTACATTACATTACATTACATTACATTACATACATACATACATACATACATACACAAGTCTATACCTACATACACACATACATAGCTATCCTACTCTTTATTGGCAATCGACCCATTCATTCTTCATAATTTCGCAGTCTTCAGCCAATGTCCATCAGATCGATGGATGTTGCTGCCTAATTCAGATCTAAGAAAACGGCAGTCTGTTGTGCATCCAGAATTGTAGCAGATGAGTGATTCAAAATCCTATCACCTTGATTGTTTAATATATTGGTATATCATTTATAATGTTAGATCATATCATGTTACATCTCTATGTTCACTGGTTAAATCGGGTTAAACCCACAATTTCTATAGCTTGAATCTACTAAGTCCCTGCTGAATCCCACCATTTTCCACGTTGTTCTCTGGGTCTTCCAGGCCTTCTTCAGGCGCGCTTGGTCTTCTAGGGCCACCACCGTTGCCTCACTGACCTGCGACGATAACCATGGTTAAGCTATGACGTACCAGTAAACTGACATAGCAGTGGAAAACCAATGGTCTCTCTAGGAAAGTGATCTACAAATGGTGGGTTAAACCCACATCCATGTTGACAGGACGGTATCTTGTCTTGCTACTGGGATGCAAATCCAAATTAATCCATGCAGCATGAACAACAAACATGGCTCGATGGGGTCACTTGAACAGGAGATTCACAGAGGAAGAATTTTCCATTGCCAGGCGGGCTTGCCAGGGCTGGTTTAACCTTTGGAACCACAAATAGACTGGCTATGTTTTAGTAGTCAAACATCCAGGTTTTTTTCGGTACTGAAGTGTGACCCAGTTCTATCCATGTTTTCATACTACACCTCCGAAAATGAAAGCCCGCCCTTATGACTAGTCTCACGATTTCGTGAACGTCCATGATTCTTCTCATGAAACTTAACAAACTTAACGTCCAGCACTTCAAAAAAATCAAGAGAAAACGGCTTTCCAAACAGTTTAAACCCCAATGTCCTCATGATTTTCCAATGATTTTCCAAGATCGGATATCCCCGACCGGGTCAATCCCGGTCGCGAGGCGCCCGGGCTTCCGAACCCACTTCTGTTGCGCCTCCTTGGCAGCTTCCTTGGTCCACCATTCCGAGTGGGGAAAGTTGAAAAATCGACTCAACGATCAATCCACCGGGTTGTAAAATGTGTTTTTTGTGGTGATATATATATATAATATTTTTTCACAGGCATATGAGGCTTTCTCGTGCCGCCGCATGCACAGCATATATATATATATGTGCATATACAAAGAGAGAGATAGAGAGAGAATGGAAAATGTTGTCAATAAATGTCAATTATACGTTGGATAGATAGGTTGGTCTGCATACAATGGCCATTGTCATTAAGAATGAAACTGGATTAGAACCCGTGTCTTTGGGGAAACCTATTTTCAGAGCCCTCCACTCATACAAACCCTTTGTTACCCTCTTCGTTTCATAGGTTCTTTGCAAAATGCACTGCAATATCTACAAAAAAAAACATATGGAAATCTAAAACCCATTAAATTCCACTATAGAAATCTAAATTCCACGAAATTCCCAGAATATTTCGATCATTTTCTGCCCCTGCTCTGTTCCAGTCTGAAGATCTCAGCAAACTCGTGCATTGTTGATGGACACCCCCTGAACATCTCACTGCCAATGAAAACAAGGTTTCATTTTATTTCTATAGGTTTTTCTGGTGGCCTCACTCCCCCTACACAACACTAAACAAACCTAAAAATACTGAAAACATCTGAAAACTCACTTGAAAAAGTTTTGAAAAAACACACACAAAAATGGTTTTAAGGAAAAGAGTCTAAACATGTTCTTTGCCTCCTTGTTTTTTGGATATTAAAAAAGCCTTCTAAACAGAACTCTGCCCAATTCAGGCAGGGCCAAGTTCACCCCATCCCCAGGCAGTGACCACCAAATCAATGTCTGCATCTCTCAACTTGGCCACCCTTCATGACAAAACTATACAAAACTTGCATCATATACCAAGAAAAAAAATGATCTAAAATTGTCCGAAATAGGCCAAAGAAGGCATCAAATGATGACCTATACAAAGGGTTTCTAAGATCCACCCCAATGACCTCACTATGTTCGTCGCTTCCCTTCCCATGTCATCCTGTTTCTCATGGCCAAGTCTTCAAGGTGGTCAGGGCAAAGTCCAAGTATTGACTTCATTTGGAGGTTTCTTAAAATATCCCCAAAACCATGGGTTTCAATACTAAAATGGTATATATATATAGTTTGGCTGATTTGGGGGCACCCCCATTTTGGGAAACCTCCAAAGGTTCGTGTGTTCAATGCCAATCTTCTTGAGAAACTCTTGGAATTGAGATGGCACGGGGTGATTATCTCGTCGAACACTTCCCAATTTTCAAGATTTGTCAACAAAAGTCTCCATAGGTATGGCTTAAATTTTTATGTGCGTTGGCCGAAAGACCCGTTCCTGTTTGTCAAATCCCTTTTTTGTTAACCTAAAACCACCACCTCTGTTGCTTCGAATCCCCCCATGTGCCCCAAGAATAAAAAAACCCGGGTAAATCAAACGCAGCAATCGAAAATTCCCAAAATTATTAGATATTTTTCCAAGCTATAAACAGCCATTTATAGGAGATGTTCCATTGCCACATTTGATTACTAGAGTTAACTAGAGGGTAACTCAAAACTCCAAACACTGTCCGTTGCGTTTCGGAAAAACGGATCGCCTCCATCTCTGCCAGCCCTTCCTTCACGGCTTTCTTTACCCCGTGCTCCACCTGGGAGCGGGAAATCTTCACCAGAAACTGGGCGGCAGTTGCAGTGGGGGATTTCACCAGGATCCATGGGGGACCTGGGGATCGATCAAACCCACCCAGAAATTTCGGGTCAACGAAGCCGAGAGACGCTGATATATGACACGACTTGCACCCGTATCTTCAGATTTGCCTGGATGTTCATTATCTATCCATATCTATCCGTCGCAGAACGCTGCGAATCAGTCACCTGTCCCATGGTAAACATGGGAATGCCATGGCATGCCACCAGTGTCACTTGACTTGATATGCCGACGTTCACAAATTGTGTATTGTCCATTCATGAGTGGTCAACAACCACATGTTCCATACATCAATACATCCCCCGCTGAATGAGAGCCTGCAATATGCTTCATAAAACCTCTGTCTTCTCCTTGTGTTGATTGGTCATGCACCCATAGTCTTTGAAGCATCAAACAGGTATGAGGAGGGTTCTACATTTTTGTAGTATGTAGTACTTCAAATATAGTCTTTACATGCAATTACTCCAACTATTGTACTCATACCCTCCCACAAAAATTGCCCTCTGGGTTTCGCAGGCCTGTGCTTTGACCTCTTCACTGGCAGACTTCAACAACCTCAGGTGGTTGCGATTTGTGTCCACCTTGTGTCCACCTCTTTTTGGGAGGCGGACCACGGATGGTTTAGAGCTTCCATTCATATCCAGAAAATCAGTTATCATCACTTCCAGAAATT